ATTACTTGGCAAATATTAACATATACAATATATATAATATACACAAACAACAGATTATTAGCAGATCTTTGTTTCATGTTTAAAATTGCCCTTTCATAAATTAAACTTTCCAAATTAATTTGATATAAACTACAATTAAAAGTACACTAGACAGCAAGACAAAATTAGGAAATTACTCGTACAAGATAATTAATAATCAATTAATTCATAAAGACTTCAATATTTACAATAACTGTGTAGCTATATCAGATGCTGAAGTAAGAGCTACATAATTTAACATAAGAACTCTCCTACTGAGCACCTATGTATTTAGCACCTACAATATAGCAGTTTGGATCAGAACTGTCAACAAGCATCAAAAATTGTACATTAAATCAACAATGACAATTATGTGATAATGCTATCTGCTAGCTGTAAATCTTTAAACTGAGGCAGCTTTTGTATCGAGATCTAGATAGATATATATATAACTGACAATTAATTTATAAATGAAAACAAATAAGTTCACAAAGCATGATGTTTACTTTTTCAATTAAAATAGTAACCAAAAAAGGATGATAGTTTTCTTAACCAAATCATATTGTCTTGAGAATTTTTTTTTTAACTCCTCAATAATAACCAATTCAAGTTAAAAGGCACACATCAGTTCATTCCCTCACTCCATTTTCTTTCCACATTCAATTTTTGTTTCTATCACTCCATACTTTTTGTTCTATGTCTTCACATTACCCTTTCTCACTCTTTTTGTGCTCACTCACTCCTCCTTCATTTTTCTTTGTTCATTCTGTCCTATTTCTGTCAGTTTTCACTTTTGTTCTCTCTTTCCCCCTTTTTTCTTTTCTTCACTCCTCATTCATCCTTCTCTTACTGCTCATTTTTTGTGCTCTCTTTTCTCCCTTTCTACTCTCCTTGCTTTATATTCTCTCACTCCTCAATTTTTGAAATGCAATCATCGCTGGAGACCACAAATGGAGCCAATTTCTTCATGGCTAATTTCTGGTTTGGTGTGAGGTAGGGGTCCTCCTGGAACTCTGGTCTTTGCCGAAGAATGTCAACGATTGTCTCTTTGGGCATACCACCACTCACAGAATGGCATCCCAGTCTCCTTTGAAGTTCATGAGACTTTCCTGAAAAAGAGAATGATACCTTATTAAAGTTCTGTTAGTTTCTTTGTTATTTCAAGTATCAAAGGTATTACTATTGTCTACATTATCCCTTATTCTAACTAATAGCATTTATTTCTTCTCTCTTGTTATATTCTTTAATCCTGTTACCTTAATAATTCTATACATTCACTCTTCTACGATAGATCTTAACCTCTAGTTACCAAAATAACTTCTTTCACACTGATTTTCCCAGAACATTTCCTAAATATATTAAGACTATCAATAACATGATAAAAATACATTCATCACTATTGCACCTTCACTACAAGATTTTAATATAAAACCTTCCTTACTTGATCCAAACGTGTGTAGATCATCCTCTTGTAGTAGTGCAGGGGGTTGTACACAGGCGGCTTCGGAGAGAAGTTGAGGGCAGTGGGTGGATTGCTGGAGGTCAGAGGTAACAAGGCAGGTACTTCTAAAGCTTCTTGCACCCACTCCATGTTACGCTTCAGAAACTCCCAAATAACCTGGAATAGGAAAGCTTGTTGCTATTTTTTTCTTCTTCTTCTTCTTTATTTACTAATACACACAAAAAAGACGATGATCAGCATACATACTCATAAGGTACCAAGGCATAACTATGGATTGTTGATATTCAAAGAATGACTGAACTAAGAGTGTTCTAATTCAGAGTGTTACCAAAGGTGGTAATGTCTGAGTTCTTGTACAGCTGGTGGTATGGAGTCTGTCACAGGTATGTGGTGAGAAGGGGTGTTGGGGATTTGTGGCCAGTGAACAGGGCGAACACTCCCACAGATATGCTTAGATTAAATTTCTTCTTTTTCATTCTTCTGCATCTTTATACAATCATTTGCAATCTATTAAAATTGATCCAGAAGACTGCATCATAGCAGTTACAGTAATAGCAGATGCAACTTCTTTGTTTCTGTGACCACTTCTTACAGTAATGGTAAACAGAACCATCAATAAGAGAACTTACTACTAATGCATGTTGGCCTTGAACCGATGAGAGGACAGTATTGGCAAGAGCATTGCAAACACTGTCAATCACATCTTCATCTGTATAGTCATCCAGGCTGTCTTCTTCATCTTCATCTTCAAGGTCTTCTAGTCTGTTTAAGAGGTATACATAAATTGGGGAAGAAGTATGCATATTTCTATTCTATGACTCACTCTCTTTCATTCAGTAACTCACTAACTCACTGAATGACTAAGTCTCTCTTAGTCTTAGTCTGTCTCTCTCCCTCTCTCTCTCCCTCCCTCTCCCTCTCCCTCCCACTTCCTCCCTCTCCTCCTCTTTCTCTCTCTCTCTCTCTCTCTCTCTCTCTCTCTCTTCTCTCTCTCTCTCTCTCTCTCTCTCTCTCTCCTCTCTCTCTCTCTCTCTCTCTCTCTCTCTCTCTCTCCTCTCATTCTCTCTCACTCTATCTCCCCTTTCTCTCTCTCTCTCTCTATATATATATATATATATCTTATCTCTCTCAATCTCTATCTCTATAAATCTATCTCTCTATATATCTACCACTCTATATATCTGTCACTCTAAATATCTGTCACTCTATATATCTATCACACAATATATCACTCACTCTATATATCACTCACTCACTCTCTCCATCTCTCTCCTCTCTCTCTTCCTCTCTCTCTCTCTCTCTCTCTCTCTCTCTCTCTCTCTCTCTCTCTCTCTCTCTCTCTCTCTCTCTCTCTCTCTCTCTCCCTTCCTCCATTCTCTCCATCACTCTATCTCCCCTTTCTCTTCTCTCTCTCTCTCTATATATATATATACTATATCTCTCTCAATCTCTATCTCTATAAATCTATCTCTCTATATATCTACCACTCTATATATCTGTCACTCTAAATATCTGTCACTATCTAAATAATCTGTCACTCTATATATCTTATCACACAATATATCACTCATCTATATATCATCACACTCACTCACTCACTCCTCTCCATCTCTCTCTCTCTCTCTCTCTCTCTCTCTCTCTCTCTCTCTCTCTCTCGTCTCCTCTTCTCTCTCTCTCTCTCTCTCTCTTCTCTCTCTCCTCTCTCCTCTCCCTCTCCTCTCCCTCTCCCTCTCCCTCTCCCTCTCCCTCTCCCTCTCCTCTCCCTCCCTCCCTCCCTCCCTCCCTCCCTCCTCCCTCCCTCCCTCCCTCCCTCTCTCCCTCTCCCTCTCTATCTCTCCTCTCTATCTCTCCCTCTCTATCTCTCCCTCTCTATCTCTCCCTCTCTATCTCTCCCTCTCTATCTCTCCAGCGCGGGCCCCCCCCCCCCCCCCCCCCCCCCCCCCCCCCCCCCCCCCCCCCCTCCCCCCCTCCTATCTTCTCTCTCTATCTCTCCCTCTCTATCTCTCCCTCTCTATCTTCTCCCTCTCTATTCCTCCTCTCTATCTCTCCCTCTCTATCTCTCCCTCTCTATCTCTCCCTCTTCTATCTCTCCCTCTCTATCTCTTCCCTCTCTAATCTCTCCTCTCTATCTGTCCCTCTCTATCTCTCCCTCCTCTATCTCTCCTCCTCTATCGTCTCCTCTCTTATCTCTCGCCTCTCTATCTCTCCCTCTCTATCTCTCGCCTTTAGTCTCTCCCTCTCTATCTCTCCCCTCTCTATCTCTCCCTCTCTATCTCTACCTCTCTATCTCTAACCTCTCTTATCTTACCTCTCTATCTCTATACCTCTCCTATCTCTACCTCTCTATCCTCTACGCTCTCATCTCTACCTCTCTATCTCTACCTCTCTATCTCTACCTCTCTGCCCTCTCTCTCTATCTATCTCTCCTCTCACCCTCTCTCTCTATCTCTCTCCCTCTCCCCTCTCTTCTCTTAATCTCTCTGCCCTCTCCCCTCTCTTTCATCTCTCTCCCTCTCGCCCTCTCTCTCTATCTCTCTCCCTCCTCCCCTCTCTCTCTATCTCTCTCCTCTCCCCTCTCTCTCTTCTCTCTCCTCTCCCCTCTCTCTCTATCTCTCTCCTCCCCCTCTTCTCTCTATCTCTCTCCCTCTCCCCTCTTCTCTCTATCTTCTCCCTGCTCCCCTCTCTCTCTATCTCTCTTCCCTCTCCCCTCTCTCTCTATCTCTCTCCCTCTCCCTTCTCTCTATCTCTCTCCCTTCTCCCCCTCTCTCTCTATCTCCTCTCGCCTCTCCTCTCTCTCCTTCTCTCTCCCTCTCCCCTTCTCTCTATCTCTCTCCTTCCCCTCTCTCTCTATCGTCTCTCCTCTCCCCTCTCTCTCCTATCTCTTCACCTCTCCCCCTTTCTCTCTATCTCTTCTCCCTCTCCCCTCTCTCTCTATCTCTCTCCCTCTCCCTCTCTCTCTATCTCTTCCCTCTCCCCTCTCTCTCTATCTCTTCTCCCTCTCCCCTCTCTCTCTATCTCTCTCCCTCTCCCCTCTCTCTCTATCTTCTCTCCTCTCCGCCTCTCTCTCTATCTCCTCCTCCCTCTCCCCTCTCTTCTCTATCTCCTCTCCTCTCCCTCTCTCTCTTATCTCTCTCCCTTTCACCTCCTCTCTATCTCTCTCCCTCTCCCCTCTCTCTCTATCTCTCTCCCTCTCCCCTCTCTCTCTTCTCTCTCTCCTCTTCCCCTCTCTCTCTATCTCTCTCCCCTCTCCCTCTCTCTCTATCTCTCTCCTCTCCCCTCATCTCTCTATCTCTTCCCTCTCCCTCTCTCTCTATCTCTCTCCCTCTCCCCTCTCTCTCTATCTCTCTCCCTCTCCCCTCTCTCTTGCTATTCTCTCCCTCTCCCCTCTCTCTCTATCTCTCTCCCTCTCCCCTCTCTCTCTATCTCTCTCCCTCTCGGTCCCTCTCTCTCTATCTTCTCTCCCTCTCCCCTCTCTCTCTATCTCTTCTCCCTCTCCCTCTCTCTCTATCTCTCTCCCTCT